ACTCTTAACTTCAGCCAATCAAGCATTATATTATGATATTATGATAATTAAACACTATTTAATGATAGAACTAGTGATTAGAACTAAAACTTGGTAGCCATGAATGAATGCATATTTGTCATTTTAACTGAACTTAGGACTGACTGGTGGTGGTGTTTAAAATATTGTTGGTCATAGGTAATAGTAATTATTATTAAAAGATACTACTACTACTATTATCTGGGTTCATGAATATTAATCACGTTGTCAGCGTTCGCTCGAACTGATTTGCTGAAATCAAAACAGGGACGGTAATAGATGAACGCCGGCCAACGCAAGCTGTTCGCGCATTAGCTCCGCCCACTGCCGAGAAACTGGCATATCTTCTGCTTGTTCTTAAAAGCTGAATAATTCTAAATCAACTGTTATTTTGACAGGAAAATACAACAAAGGATATGGTTTACATGTAGCGCGTCGATTCAGCGTGGTATGCAAGACTCTCGCTCTCTCTCTTTGCATGTGTGAGAAACACAGCGCTATCAGTAAAGTGACGGCGAGTCGTGCGCCTTCACACTAGTTTACGGTACGTCAAATACAGGTGCGCTGCGTGGTACATACTGCACATCCATTGAGTACATGACATGATCCATTGAGCGCATCCAAATTGTACAGATAGCTTGACGTAGAGCGAAACTCTCAAGCGCTCAGTCAGCATGTTTATCGAGTGAAAATCTGTGTTGAACGCCTCTCACACACATACTGGCGTGTAAAATCTAAGAAGATAGTTTAGAATGCGCATACTGCTCGCTCTGAGAGGGGAAAGCGCCGCATTTATGCACTTCGAGAACATGCATGGGGCTAAAGCCAGCCCGAATAGGAGCACTGAGTACTGGTATGCCGTGCCCCTGAAAGGAAACCTCAGAAAGCGTCTGTGGCGCGGTGCTATCTGAATATGAACGTATGCATCTTTCAGATCTATGGATGCAAACCAGTCCCCGGGAGGGATTTGTGCTAGGATCTGCTTCAGAGTCGTCATCCTGAACGTGTGCTTGTTAAGTGCTTTGTTGATGGGTTTCAGGTCTAGAGTCCCACATCTCTCATGGGTACCACAAATTAGAGGCTGTGCAAGCAGGATATGAACCTTCTTGTCACCTGCAGGAACAAGGGGAACATAATGCAGGATGTGGCGCTTGGGGGCTGGGCCTTCAGCGAGCTCTCTCCTCCTCTTGGCCGATCCGTCAGGACGAAGGCTTGGCAGCTTAGGGCAGTCCGCTGTCATGGCATGGGCTTCTCCTCTGTCCATGACGCCTTTTCCTGGGTCTCATCCCCTGCTTGCGGTGAACATCTGGCTCATGTTGAGGAACCATGGAGGATGCGGTGGGCTGCTTAGCCGCTCTCTGAGCAGAGTGGGGCACAGAAGAGAAGCGTGATGTAGACGGTGGATGGCACGTGCGACGGGGTATCAGATGACTCAGCACACTTTTGTTCTATAACTGACTCCATGGCGTCACCAAAGAGGCCGGAGGGAATGATCAGAGTCCATCAGGTCAGCCATAGGTGCCTGTGAAGGACTACCATGAAGCCAATGGAAAGACCGATGGATTGAGCAGAGCGTTTTGTCACCATCAGCGTGAAGTCCGTCACTGCATGCAGGTCTTTCACGACGTCTGTGTCGATGTCGCCGCTGTCCAGGGCCTGCAGGAGCTTAGCTTGAAAGACCTGCAGCACCGTCATTGCATACAATGTGGATGCCGCTTCGTCCGCGGAGGTTTAAGCCTTGTCAGCGCGGTGGGTGGTCAGTCTGCAAGGCTTAGAAGGCAGGCTGAAGTCTGTGCCAAGCATGGCCGAGGAAGGGCACAGATGTGTGGCGACAGTCTCCTCGATGGGGGGCATGCACACATAGCCATGGGCCTCCGCCTCGTCCACGTGGGAGAACATGGCCTGAGTGGAAGAGTGGATGTGTGCCGACTAGGGTGTAGACCACATCTTCACCACCTGCTCGTGGACATCCAGGAAGAACGGGACCTTCCTCCTCAAGGCAGCCAGGTGACAGCTCCACTGGAAGTACCAGGAATTTAGATTACTCCTGGCATGTTACTCTGTAGCATCCCAGTTGAGGTCAAGCTCCTTAACAGCTTTCACTAGGACCCTGGCGAACTAGCCATCGGATGCAGTGAAGAAGCTGTCTTATCTTCAGGTGCATCTTTGACGATGGCAGCGTGAAGGAGAAGATTCTGAGGCAATTGTCGCTCTGACTGCATTATATACTGCCCGCAGGCTTGGCAGTATTTGCATGCGATTTGCATAATTAGTGACAATTGGCCAGTTTATTGTACTGGCGTTATATAATGTTTCAGGATTTCGGAAATGGGGAGGAGTTCCCACTGTGAATGCTTCGCAATGAAAGAGAACTTGGCGTAGCACTTTCCAAAACATCCCCTTTTCAAGATGCACATGCAAATTTGGCTGATCCTTGACCCGATCACGGGCAGCAGCGCAAAGTTGATTCTGTGCTAATTTGATCTAATATTTTATGTTTTTTAAAATGTTGTAGATTTAGCAAATGAGAAAAGCTAAAATGATTAAATATATTTTGAGACGAATGTCTTCTTAATTATTTTCAGCCCCTGCTGTTGGGGCAAAAGGCACTTTAATTAACATGATAATAAATAGCTGGCTGACTTTTCCATTTGTTGACATAACATGGTTAGATTCAGATAGTAAATATCATAGATTAAGTTGGGTTTCCACCTTAGAGATAATCACCATGTTTATAATGAAACCACCATATTTAAAAAGTATGATATTAATATATCATATACAGTGCCTTGTGAAAGGTATTTTTTTCACATTTTGTTTTGTTTCTCCCTTATGTTAAAATGCTTTTAATTACTTTTTTCCACATCAATCTACACTCCATACACCATAATGGTAAAGCAAAAAAAATAATTTTTAACATCTTTGCAAATTTGTTGCAAATAAAAAGACTTAGGCTAAATGATTCCATTACAGTATTCATACCCTTATCTGGGACAGTTGAAGCTCAGGAGCATTCATATCACTTGTAGATGTTACTACACTTCGAGTGAAGTTAACCTGTGGCAAATTCAATTGAATGGATATGATTTGGAAAGGCACACACCTCTCAATAAAAGATCTAACAGCTGTAAATGCGTATCAGAACAAAAACGCCAAGCCCTGAGGTCAAAAGAACTGCCTGTTGAGCTCAAAAATAGGATTGCATCAAGCCACACATCTGGGGAAGAGTTCAGAAAAATTTCTGCTGCATTGAAGGTTCGCAGAAGCATGTTGTCTCCATTTTTCTTAGTGGAAGAAGTTTGAAACAACCAGGACTCTTCCCAGAGCTGGCCTCCTGGCCAAACTGAGCAATCGATGGAGAAGGGCTTTGGTTAGACTGGTGACCAAGAACATGATGGCCACTCTAGTTGAGCTCTATGATCATATGTGGAGATATTAGAAACCTACAGAAGGACAAATATCACTGCAACACTCCACCGGTCTTTATAGCGGTGTGGCCAAACTCAATCCTCTCCTCAGTGTAGACACATGAAAACACACTTGGAATTTGCAAAAAACATCTAAAGGACTCTCAGACTCTGAGAAACAAGAATCTCTGGTCTGATGAACCGCAATTCCAAGCATCATGTTTGAAGGAAACCAGGGGCTGCTCGTCACCTGCAGAGTAGCGTCCCAAAAGTAAAGTGTGATGGTAGCAGCCTCATGCTGAGGGGCTGTTTTTCACATCAATACTGTGTGCCTTTTGCCCCATGCTGGTGAGCCTTTTATCCCGTGTGTAGGGTAAAAGGCCCCCCTTGCCACCAAATACATTTATAAGATTTTTAAACAAAATAAACTACATGTATGATTTATTTTCACACAAAATATGTTGCTCCATAAATGTTCAATACAAACAAAAATATTTTTTCTGCAATCATACATCATGGGTATAGTGAAAAGCAAATTTTTTCTTAAGGTGTGCTTTTAGCCCTGTTGTAACCTATTTATTATATTATATTATATTAAGCCTAATAAATAATTGACCTCAAAAAGGGAATTAGTGAACAATAACTGCTTCACTTTTTCATATTATATTATATTATATTATATTATATTATATTATAAAGAATTGAACTGTCCTGCATAAGATTTTTTTTAATGATTTTTGTATTTTTTGTATTAAATGGCAATGGCAATGGCAAATTTATTTATATAGCTATAGCACCATTAATTACAACCCATGGTTGTCCAATGTGCTTTACAACAAAATAAAAAATGAAAACACAAAAACACATTTACTTAAAAATACACAAAGTATAATAAAAAACAATAAAATGTAAGGCAGGAAAGTGTTAATACAGATTATAAGCCTTGTCAAACAAATACGTTTTTAAGCTAGATTTAAATGTATTTTTTAATAGAATTTCTTGGTAACACAGCAATGTTAAAAATGTTTTCTCAGGTAACCTAAAATGTGCCTCATTTAGTTACATCAAGGGTCAAATCAAATATAAATAGCACATTAAAGTTAAAAGTTACACACTTTTTTGTGTATGTGCTGTACAGCTCTGGTATAAAGAAAGTTTTTTGCCAAAATGTCTGCCCAATAGGGAAAAGTTTTGCTCAGCAACAAAAAAATAAATGCTCAGGAAAATTGCTCTGAAATGATTGATATGTTGTGTTATCTTTGCATTCAAAGTTTTTCTTTACTCTGGTATTTGGACTCATGTGAGTCATGTTGCTCATAACTATGCACCATTTTTGGGGGGGGTGTTCTCTGAACTTTTCTTTGTTATTAAATACATTTTTGAGAATTGACAATTCATTTTGTTTGTTTTTTCTCTCCTCCTTTTTTGTGATTCATTGCTGTATGTAACTGGGGGCTTTAAAGTTATTTGGGAAAATTTAAATTTGACAGCTATTTCTGTCTGGCACCTGAACAAAGTGTTAAAAGTGTATATCCGGGTGTCACCACCGTTACATGGTGAAAGTGGTGACTTACCAATAAACTGTGAAATGGGCTGAATTAGATTTTTACAATGGAAAAATGTGGTTTGATTTTTTGAAGACAATTTAAAATGAATATTTATTAACAAAGTATCCGCTTTAATGTTAGATTGCCATTCTAGAATACAGAAGCATGTTTGAGTTTAAAAGTGAGATTAGTGTGGAATGTGTATTTGTGCTAAATATGCCGTGTTTATTTTCTCAGGTGGCTGCTGTGGCTCTGATGAGAAGAGCTATACAGTGGGCGGCTGGGCCTGGGCATGGTGGCTTATCACCGACATACAGAAGTAAGAATGTTTATTCATCACATTCACTCCTGCTATTGTGTGTACTGGCTCACAACATAAACAAATCATTCTCCCACTGACTGAATGACTCTATTCTCTATATATGTATATTTCAATTCCTCGAGTGGGCATTAGGACCATTTTAGAGACGTGTCATGGCATGCTCATATTTGTCTGGCTAGACTATTTAAACTTGTGAATATAATATGTCTACTTTAAAGAAACTACAGAGTGCACACACCTATGCCTATCATTTTCTTCCCAAAATATAAAAGACATTGATTGTAACTAAAATAACTATGTTTACTATCCAAAAAGGAAATAGCATATCTGCTAAGCACGCTTCCTTTCAGTGATATAGGCTTCAGCTTAGATAGCTTTCAGACCTGCCCCCCCCCCCCCCCTTCACATGAACTCACTTCATTAAGGGCCTAAGTATCCAAGGCTAGTGTTTGGAAAAGTAAACAGAATTAACAATACTAGAGTGTTGACCAATGTTCCCTGCTCACGTGCGCGGCCGTGCTGAAGAAATAATGTGCCGCGCACGCGCATAAATGAGTAGGGAAAGCCATTTGCGAAAGCTATTGTAAACCGCTATAGAGTTGATATCGATATAGAGTTAGAACCGGTGAAGCCGTTATGTACCGAAGCTTTGTAAACAAAACGAACGGTTCAAAAAAACGTAAATATATAAAAGTGCAGAGAGCAATGTTATGCATTTGCCGCCTTCTCCTGCGCCGTCGTTACTAAGCAAGGGGGTAAACAACTGCTGGCTTGATGACGCAAACGAACCGCGGTTCGGACCCAAATAAAATAATATGAACAGAGTCCAGCGGGGGCAGGGGGAGGGGGGAGCAATCGAACTCGGGTTCGGACCAGGCAAGCGAACCAAGTGTGACAGCACGACAGTCACACACAGGTGTATTGTGCAAACTGTACTTCATAGAGTTGATATCGATATAGAGTTAGAACCGGTGAAGCCGTTATGTACCGAAGCTTTGTAAACAAAACGAACGGTTCAAAAAAACGTAAATATATAAAAGTGCAGAGAGCAATGTTATGCATTTGCCGCCTTCTCCTGCGCCGTCGTTACTAAGCAAGGGGGTAAACAACTGCTGGCTTGATGACGCAAACGAACCGCGGTTCGGACCCAAATAAAATAATATGAACAGAGTCCAGCGGGGGCAGGGGGAGGGGGGAGCAATCGAACTCGGGTTCGGACCAGGCAAGCGAACCAAGTGTGACAGCACGACAGTCACACACAGGTGTATTGTGCAAACTGTACTTCATAGGGATGTTTAGATAGCTATAGAAGAATTCACGTTCACATTTTTTTAAATATTTAACTTCCAGATCTCAGTTTAAATGCTTCAGTTTGTTTTCTATTCTATTCTATCAGTTTAAATGCTTCAGTTTGTTTTGATATTATATTATGTTAGGCCTATAAACCTAATAAATAATTGACCTTGTTTTTTAATGGAGTCTCTTATGCTCATCAAGGATGTAGACCTATTTATTTGATCGAAAATACAGAAAAAAACAGTAATGTGAAACATTTTTGCAATTTCTAATATTGGTTTCCTATTTTAATATTCTTTAAAATATAATTTAGTCCCGGGAAGCAAAGCTGAATTTTCAACATCATTACTCCAGTATAAAGTGTCACATGATCCTTCAGAAATCATTCTAATATGCTGATTTATTATCAGTCTTGAAACTGTTGTGCTGCTTAATATATATTTTTTTGGAATCTGTTAGGGCTGCACAATAAATTGCATGCGATATTTAACGCACATCTTGTCAGTAAAGCCGGTTCTGTTACCAGTGGTAAATCTCCATCACCTGCGGGCTTTCACATTGAGCAGCATTAACTACACAGAGCCGTTGTTCACTGACGAGCTGCACCAAACCACATTCATTTTCGTGCGATTTTTTTGCACAGCTCGTCAGTGAACAACAGCTCTGTGTAGTTAATGCTGCTCAATGTGAAAGCCCGCAGGTGATGGAGATTTACCACTGGTTACAGAACCAGCTTTACTGACAAGATGCGCGTTAAATATCGCATGCGATTTATCGTGCAGCCCTAGAACCTGTGATACTTTCTTCTTTGATTCTTTGATTAATAAAAAGTTAAAAAGAACAGCATTTATTCAAAACAGAAATCTTTTCTAAAAATATAAGTTTTTACTATCACTTTTTATCCATTTAACACATTCTTGCTGAATAAAAGTATTAATTTCTTTAAAAAAAGAAAAACAAATGACTGACTTTTGAATAGTAATGTATATTGTAACACAAAATTTCTATTTTGAATAAAAAATGAAAAAGGAGCCATTTTCTAATTTTTCTACTTTCAATATTAAATCAAAAAACGAATGATACACGGATTCTGAAGCAAGGTTATTTTCATAAACTAAAACTAAAAATAAGACTAAAATTATTGATGAAAAAACAATTTCGTAAACTGAAATAAAATAAAAACGTCAAAATAATTGAAAAACTAAAACGAAACTAAACTAACAACAGTTATTGAAAAACCAGCTTTACTGACAAGATGCGCGTTAAATATCGCATGCGATTTATCGTGCAGCCCTAGAACCTGTGATACTTTCTTCTTTGATTCTTTGATTAATAAAAAGTTAAAAAGAACAGCATTTATTCAAAACAGAAATCTTTTCTAAAAATATAAGTTTTTACTATCACTTTTTATCCATTTAACACATTCTTGCTGAATAAAAGTATTAATTTCTTTAAAAAAAGAAAAACAAATGACTGACTTTTGAATAGTAATGTATATTGTAACACAAAATTTCTATTTTGAATAAACTGTTCTTTTTAACTTTTTATTTATCAAAGAATCCTGAAAAAATATCACAGGTCCCAAAAAAAAATTAAGCAGGACAACTGTTTCCAACATTTATTATAAATCAGCATATTAGAATGATTTGTGAAGGATCATGTGACACTGAAGAATCCGTGTATCATTCGATCATTCGTTTTTTGATTTAATATTGAAATGAGAAAAATTAGAATTTGATTATGAATAGATTTGATAGTTATTGAAAAACTAACTGAAATAAAATAATAATTATCAAAAATAAATAATCGTTTTCGTAATCATTACGTTCTCACCCCTTGGCAGAAAAATATACGAGCTGTGTAGAGGTTTAGGGAAATAGCCTACCTGTAATGGCGCATCACGCTCGTGAGGTTATCTGACAGAGAGACGCAAAGCAGTTTAAAGCTCGCATTAAATCTATTACATCAGGTAAGCAAGATTATTTATTTTATCATGTAACACAAGCAATCAAACCAACATTAGGCATTCTGAAAAACAGACATGCAGCGCAACATGATAATTAACAGAAAAAAGGATGAGAACGCGCATCGATTCTGTAAACAACACAAACAAAACTTTTGCCGAGCATCTTGTGATCACTCTGCCAGGCTTTTGAACAAATGTGCATTGGCTAAATCACATCATACACACGCATATAATTCTTCATAAATGAAAAGAACATTCCAACATAAGCCTTTACTGTTAAATGTGATTGCCGTTATTATTGAATTTCATTAGTCCCAGTTTTGATTGATGCACAGCTGTTCACGGAAAAGTGAGCAAGACACCACAGTTACAATATCATGATTATGGTAAAATAAGAAAAGACATATAACCAAATCAGGCTACATTTATTTTCATACTAAATATCTCAACACACATCATTGGATATCAGAATGAGCTTTATGCACGAATGAGCTTTATGCGCGGATATGACATTAAGCGCGACTTGTGTAGATTAGTTTAGTAAAAAAAGTCTTGCCTGCTTTCTTTGGCGTATATTTGTATAGTTTTACTATCTAATCAATCTCAGCATGCGTTAATTTTGTGTCGCTATATGTTTGCCTCACGAAGGTTAAATTATGCCTACGTCTTTCTTTGGCCTGCGCTCTGGAAATGATCTGTTAATTCTGCTAAAATTTAATTAAAACTGAAACTAAACTATATAAAAATGAAATAAAAATGCGTTCACAAAATAAAACTAAACTAAAACTAACAAAAATGAATGAAACTAATAAAAACTAAACTGAATTTTGTAGCAAATTTGAAAACGATATTAAAATAAAACGAATGAAAAAATTCAAAACTAAAATAACCTTGCACTGAAGACTAGAGTAATGATGCTGAAAATACAGCTTTGCTTCATAGGAATAAATTATATTTTAAAGTATATTAAAATAGAAAACTTTTATTTTAAATCGCAATAATAATAATATTCAGTATTTTTATGTAATAGATACCGCCTTGATGAGCATAAGGTACTTCTTTAATAAACATTATTGATCCCAAACTTTTGAATGGCAGTGTATTATACTGTAAAAAAAAACAGGTAACATCATGGGTCAAATTAAATACAAATAGCACATTAAAGTTAAAAGTTACACACTTTTTTTATGTGCGCGCTGTAAACTAAAATAACCTTGCACTGAAGACTAGAGTAATGATGCTGAAAATACAGCTTTGCTTCATAGGAATAAATTATATTTTAAAGTATATTAAAATAGAAAACTTTTATTTTAAATTGCAATAATATTACACAATATTATTTTGTGAAATAATATTCAGTATGTTTATCAAATAGATACAGCTTTGATGAGCATAAGAAACTTCTTTAATAAACATTATTGATCCCAAACTTTTGAATGGCAGTGTATTATACTGTAAAAAAAAACAGGTAACATCATGGGTCAAATTAAATACAAATAGCACATTAAAGTTAAAAGTTACACACTTTTTTTATGTGCGCGCTGTACAGGTCTGGTATAAAGAATGTTTTTGCTCAGGTGGCCGAAATGTCCGCCCAATAGAGAAAAGTTTTGCTCAGCAAGAAAAAAAATTAGAGGGAACATTGGTGTTGACTGAAGTTCAGCTTCAGTCGTTACAAACAGAAGATCATTAATAGCGCGGCATCTGCTGTTGAATACATAGTATATCCAACAAA